TAATTTCAACACTTTTCAGATAGGGACGTACTTTAATGCATTCAAGACATGTTTTTTCAAACCATAATATATATATAAATTCAGTACCTTGGTGTATATTTCAGTCCAGTACACTCCAAGCGTAACTTAACTTTCGACTGGCTATTAGCTGGCATTAGTTTTTAAAAGCATCATTGTTATAAGTAATTTCAACTTATTGTCTGTAATAATTACCAGTGTTCCTGATATAAGACATATTTAGACAGACTACTCTGCATGGTTCAGCTCAGCTTGAAGATGGCTAAATGTTAAGTTACGCTTGGAGTTACTGCAAACAGCGCCCTCTATATACTTACTGTTGTATCATCAGAACAGGACGCAATAACATTATCGTCAAATGGATTCCATTTAATGTCAAGAACGTTACCACGGTGACCAGTAACTTTTGGCATATTCACTTCAATTCTACCAGTCTGTAAGAACAATACAAGAAAAAACAGTTTGTAATATAAAAAAATGCTGTAGTCTTTAAAGCGAGAGGGCCGTCACTGAGCACGTGCAGGAATTGAGTCCCAAGCGACGATAACACATGCTAAAAACGCAAAGGCTCATGGGTAGATGCTTGTTTGTAAACAATGACACGCTATGGCCATCTGACGCATGCGTAGGTGACGACTACCCGCTTTAACCATTTGTCGCCCACCATGCTAGCTCTTATGAAAGCTGCAAAAATTTGTTGAATCGGCCATCACTACTACACCTTGGTAGATCAGGTCAGGTGAGTATATGTTACAGAGCGCCCTTTTTGGCAACCTCCTTTTTTTGTTTTATTCCCCTTTCAATAATCCTACTATCTCACTTTCAGAGGCATGTCCAGATTTAAGTATTTTCTACTGAGGTCAGATGCAAGGTCTTTTTGTAGGTAGGTCAAGCACAAATTTGTGGGGGAAGTATGTTAACACAGAGATTGCAAAACTGTGTGATTTAGAAAATAGATAAGACCAATCTACTGCGCAACTGGCATTCCCACAGGAATTGATTAAGTTGTGCCGAGGACGTGAGACATTTTGTATTCCAGGCAGAATGCAGTCAAATTACATGTATTTGTCACTTTTCACACGCACAAAAAAACATTTTTTCCTAAATTTTGATCCAGAATTATATCCATTTTAGTAAAACCAATGAAGGCATTAATTAACACCCACTGCTGACGCTGTTTTCCCATTCACTTTGACTATGGGTTGAAAAGGTTAACCGAAAATGCAACTAAAACAACCAACATTAGAACAGATTCTGGCAAGTATTCTTTGGACGGAGCTACATCATTGATGCGCATTACTGTACCATGTATTTCTATGGGTTCGACGCGAGCTGCTGTGGAACACCGGTGAAAATAGCTAAAATCGAGAAAACAGCACAAACTCAACATCCTGAACAACCAAATCAATATATAGTGTAAAATGCTCTATTTTCACATTAACACAGACGAAGACGGACTATCACTCATATGATAAGCTTCGCTCGACAAAGTCAACAGCAGGGCTAATAAAGTTATATTTTAAGCTGTTAGGCAAAACAATGTCAGTTTTTGTAGCTATGAGTGCCAGTCATTGTGTTCAATAGTATACCCAAACCAGAGGTATGTAAATGTGTCGAAATGGACATAGTGCGAGTGTTTAGTGCTAGTAGCACTAATCCGAAAAACTACTAGATCTAGTGCTAAAACGGCACTAGATCTAGTGCTAAAACGGCACTAGATCTAGTGCTAAAATGTACATAGTGCGAGTGGCATTGAAATCGCGTTGTCAACGACGTCAAGGCATCCAGTAATTCTCTGAAAATAAATTAATATTTACGTAAAATTGTTGTATCTTTCATTCATTGGAAATGTGCTACAGTGGGAAAATTGAGAATGTCATTGCCCACGTTTGTCATAATAGACCTTTGGAACAACGCTATATAAGTCTAGACACTTTCTCTGCAATAATATTTTTTAGAAGTCCTTAGGATTTTTTGTTGTAGACTCTCGAAATCTTGTTCTTGTTACAGTTGCTAATAATTAAAACATGTGAAGTAACAAGTTCGTCTGTTGAATTTCCGGTTGTGAAATACGTATTTTAACCCTTCACAGCTAAACAAACCCAGCGTATGGTCGCGTTAAAAAAATGGGACCATTTATTTTTTTAAATATTTTGTCGTAATTTATTGGACAATCAGTCCATTTAAGTTTTTATTCAAGAGCGTGTTTAATTGTGACTAGCATAAGCATAAGCGTTTTCTATTGTCTTTGGTTTGGACAAAGAGCTGTTATCACTGTAAACAATGTTAAAGTATTCTTCTAATGCTAAGTTCATCTTTGAAAACAACTATTTTTTATTTTAAAAAAATCATGCCATTTTCCCATCAAAATCCAAGCCAAAAGAGCGTACTAAAACATCGGCAAATCTTTTCCGCGTTGCGTTCAATAACATTAACATATTTAAATGAGCTATGGTGATTTGAACGCGTTGACATCATCCAGCATTTTGATTGGTTAATTAGCGATTTGACCTATTAGCTCAAATCATGCACAGTCTTTTTTAGTAACCGTGCTGCTACGCAATGCATGTTTATTAGAAACGTCGTTTAAAATATACTTTTGTTACCAATAAAATAAAGACAAATATATTTGAAAAATGACACTGGGCGACAATGTAATGACATTCCAGGTGGTCTACTTTTTAATTCAGCAAGAATTATTAATTATTGTTAATTCTGCAATAGTTTCTTTCGTCTTGGGTGGCCCAACTGACGGCGTAGAAAGTCGGTGTAGTTGAATACAATGAAAATGTCCCCCAAAATATTTGATTATTTTTTGAAATTTTGAACCCCAAATAAGCGCCCATCAGCCGTGAAATCCCCAGGGCGATTTTTTGGATGGACGAATTTACGGCAGAATCCGGTATTATATAAAGAAAGTATTAATATGGACATTTTGCGCATATTATACTGTTTTATACTGTTTGTAGTTTGCATATGAAAGTGGTTGTTGATGTCCCTCCTATCATTCGACGTTGTTGACAATGCGATAACAATGCCACTCGCACTGTGCACATTTTAGCACTAGATCTAGTGCCATTTTAGTGCTAGATCTAGTACTTTTTCGGATTAGTGCTACTAGCACTAACCACTCGCACTACACCCATTTTGACACATTTACATACATGCAAACCATGCATATTACAGGTGTCAATTACATTGTTTGTTTGTAAACACAATACTCCAATGTGCACTATGACTATGGAGTATGCTACTGTAAACTCATTGCATATTTTGTGAATTTTGCGAAGCAATGAATATTCAAGACATTTTGTAGCAGTGAACATAACAGTACATATTTTTTTTGAAGACCTCTCTTCCCAACAATCAAACTGAATCAACTTTATTTTAAGAATTTGATTTTGAATCCCCCACAAAATCAGTCCTGTTAAAGGACACATTGAGACTGACCCAAGCTGATTTTAAGAACTCTATTTTGACTCAGAATCCCTACAACACTATCCAGGTTACAGGACACACTGACTCTGATCCAAGTTGATTTTATGAACTCTATTTTGACTCAGAATCCCAACAAAATCAGTCCTGTTAAGGAGCACACTGAATCTGACCCAATTTGATATTAAGGATTCCATTTTGCCTCAGAATCCCAACAAAACTATCCAGGTTACAGGGCACACTGAATCTGACCCAATTTGATATTAAGGATTCCATTTTGCTTCAGAACCCCCAACAAAACTATCCAGGTTACAGGGCACACTGAATCTGACCCAATTTGATATTAAGGATTCCATTTTGACTCAGAACCCCCAACAAAACTATTCAGGTTACAGGGCACACTGAATCTGACCCAATTTAATATTAAGGATTCCATTTTGCTTCAGAATCCTACAAAACTATTCAGGTTACAGGGCACACTGAATCTGACCCAATTTGATATTAAGGATTCCATTTTGACTCAGAACCCCCAACAAAACTATTCAGGTTAGAGAGCACACTGAATCTGATCCAATTTGATATTAAGGATTCCATTTTGCCTCAGAATCCCAAAAAACTATTCAGGTTACAGGGCACACTGAATCTGACCTAAGTTGATATTAAGGATTCCATTTTGCTTCAGAATCCCTACAAAACTATTCAGGTTACAGGGCACACTGAATCTGACTCAATTTGATATTAAGGATTCCATTTTGTCTCAGAACCCCTACAAAACTATTCAGGTTACAGGGCACAGTAAATTCCATACCCCACAGGATGTAGTCATTAGTCAGTCAGTCACACCCACCGACAGTCTCCAAGACAAGGAGTATAGGTTTCTTTTACTTACAATTAGTTTATGACTGTACAAACACACCTCATTAGAGATCAATGGGACAGAAACTATACATCATATACCAATGACAGATTACTGTATTTATAGGTCATGACCTTTGAACCTGGGAATCTTATCCGGGACAGAGCACAGGACTACAGTATCATAAATAGTATAGCATTAGAAACTGACTTATAATTTTTGAGAAAGGTGATCATAAATCGCATGACAATGTTTATTGTTTTGTTGTGCAAAATTATTGAGCTACATGTATTGTCCCATGGAATGGCATTCTTTTGTATGTTACAGCATAGACCTGTTTTCTAAAGTCTATGGTTACAGTAACATATTTTGAAATATGTGTATGTATATATGTAAATCACTATATTTAGAATAATTCTATAGAACAATCTGAGGTATGGCGTAATACCTCTGCCATAGGAAAATATGGTAAAAGCGTTATAACCATAACGAACATTGTTGTTAATGCACTATCAACAACCTAGTTGAAAGAACTACACTCAATAATTAATATAAAATATACCAATTAATAGTGATCTGACAAGTTATTGTAAAATACTTTATTTTAGCTGGAATAAATTTTTGCTTAAAAAACTTTTTGGGTGTTTTGTATGATATTTATTTTCACTGATTTTTGGCAAGATGAATGTAAAATATAGGAAAAATAGTATATTCGCTGGATTTTATTTTCACTGAATCACTCCTTCAGCGAAAATAGAAAAAATTAATTCCAAGCAAAAAATAAAGTATTTTACAGTACCGTAAAATCTGTATCAGAAGCCGCATACCTAATAGAAGTCGCACCCATTCTTTTTAAATAAGAACAAAAAATTCATCATTTCTCGTATGTGTAGATGTTCTAATAGAAGCCGCATCCCTTCTGTTGCATTGTACCATTTTAATAGAAGTTGTGGCTTCTAATACAGATTTTACAGTACTATTATTATTACTCTAGCTGAGTTAGTTATATAACAATATTTCACCAATTTTAGAAGTCAGGAAAATATCTGGAATGTTGTGCAATTTTGAAGCAGTGCAAACTCCATTGGGGTCAGGAAATCATGGTGACTTTTGAGTCTTGGCCTTCATTCGAACATGAATGCT